AAAATTGTCAAAAATTTATATTTTCTAATTTCAAGCAGTCCCAAGAAATATACGATTTAATTCAATTCAGTGTTTTTAACATGAACAAATGAAATAGTAAAATTTGTTAATTAGAAAACATATTAAAAGTTATTTTATTGCATAAAAGTATTTTATTAAAAATAAAATTGTTGAATTAAATTAATAATAAATTAAATAATATTAAAAGTCTTTAAACTATTCATACATTTGAATATGAATATTTTAATATACAAATATAATTTACATACTCCACTCTTTTTACCACCAAAAAATTGTTTACAATTTTTGTTTTTTTTTATATTTCTTATTGGATTTTTCACATATTTAACAAACACAAATTAACACATAGCACAACTTTATTAAAATATATTAAATATATACTCACATATATTTTTGCTTTACTAATTTGTATTTATACACATCAAAACAAACAAATCACATTAAACACAAAACATATATTTTAAATCCACAATTAATAAATTATTGTTTTTTTACCTTCTTTCGTCATTTTTAGGAAATTCATACATTCCCTTAAATAACTTACATCCCATCACGCAATTTCGCACCATCTTCAAATATTAATAATAATATATAATAATTTACTATAATAACAATTATAATAAATATAATTATTTTTTCAAAGAAACTTATTCACTACTTTTTATAACTCAGTTTGATTTGGCTACGTTTTTCAGTTTTTGGCGCATTTCTCCTGTCAAAATAACTAAACAAAACCCAATTTGCGCTCTTCATATTGCTCTTTCGTAATAAAAAAAATTAAGACCGTTCGTGGTGGTGAAACGTTCCGTTCGGGGTGGTGAAACTTTTCAGTCGTGGTGGGTCGAATTGCAACAACAAAACAACGTGCTTGGTTTGGTAGTAGTAAATTATTTTGAGAGTGTATTGGTTGGTTTTTTTTGTTTACATTTAAGTTGCCGTTCTTGTACAAGTATTCTTTGTTTCTTAATATGAATACACATGATTTTGTACAGCGGTTAATGGTTTTGTTTATGATTAAAGCATACTTCAAGATTTTCGCGCAAAAATAAATGCAAAGAAATTTTGTTAGCAAATATGAGCAAAATAAAATCTACGCGTTCTTCTAAATCAGAAACCAAATTAAATGATTCAACAAGAGACAATAAAACGGTTAAAGCATCATCTATAAGAAAAGTATTTTATATTGCCGAATCTTTAATGCAAAATGCCGATAATGAATTGCGATTAGAACGCTTCTTTCATCCGGGCAAAGGTACCACCGCGCTATTTATAGCATGTTCCAATAAAATCATTATGGAAGTATTACAGTTCTCTGAACCACGACGAAGTTGGCTAATAGATTCAAATGTATGTTCCAATGGACGTATTTATGTTACTACACCGATTGATGTCACATTTTTGGCAATACATCATATACGCAAGCATTGCACCCAAAGAGTACTGGAACTGCATTGCAGGCAAAGTGAAGATTTAAGCACTTCTCGCCTGCTTACGACTTTTGTAGACAAAGACACATTAGGTTGCGTAGCTGATGTTAAAAGATTAGCTGGTTCCAAAACGGTGTTTTATAAGTACAATGCAGAAAAAACGTTAGCTTCGTTAGCGCTTAAAACCCGAAACATTGCGAATGTGCTTAAAAGCAAAGGAATTTATTGCGGACTGAGCACCGTGTCACATAATTACACTCCCAGCGAAAATTCAACAGCTGAAGATCTGATTAACGATATTGACTATTTGCGTATGGCGTGTGATATTGTTGGTGGTTATATTAACTTGGATTTACACGACGATCTCACAAAATATTTTGAAATACAACCGGAAATAAAAGCCATCGTTGAGGAGCAGAAACAGGCAAATAAACGAAAATCACTTGCAATCACTTAATTCAAATGATAATAAAAAAATTAAACTTGAAAACACGAATGATAAAAGTGCTAATGAAAAATTAAAAAATAATGGCCTATTAGATGACTCACTGGATGATGATAAATCTAATATAATCGTTAATGATGCACCAAAGGCACCAGCACCTAAGGAGCGCGTACTCACAGCTAAGGAGAAAGCATTAGCCAAGAGCGCAAAGGGAACAAAAAGCATATCTTCATTTTTCAAGAAATAAATCTTAAGTTATTTTTAGTTAAGGATGATTTGTAATAATCTTCACTTTAAGTACATTTATTGTGTAATCGTTATTATTATATTTAGTAAATATCATTAGATTTGAAGTTTAATTGTTTCTGTAAAAAAAAATTGTAGGATTTTAATTGAGGTATTGGAATTGCGTTTGACTTTTGTTAAACACCACATCAAAACAGAGAAAACAATCTGTACACATATTCTGAATCAGTTTGGTTTTATCGCTTTTAGTAAGCCAGCTAAGTCTACACTTGACTAAAAAAATTTCAAAATATCAACTTAAGGGAGATATTCAAATTCTTTGGTCTATTAGAAACTCTGATATTCATAGAGATGCCTTAAAGATGGTCATTCCTGTCTTTTTTTAACACGCTAGAAGCTGCTTGTAATATCCATTTGGAGGTGGTGAACGATACTTGGTTGACGAGTGGTTCCGGTAAGTTGACATGGCCATTCTCGAAACTTTCATTTCTACTCCTTTATATCTTCACATTACTTTCTCTATTCCGCCCATTGTGCAATGTGTTATCAACCTTTTCTGAGCTTGCTTCCAGTTTGGCATATTGCTACAACAATCTCTTCAACAAAATATTCATTATCTGATACTTTAAGTATATAATGGATTTTACAAAAAAAAAGTGATGTAAATTGCCAGGTTGACACAGTACCCGTTACATGGAGTGCATACGGACAGAAGAGTCAAGGTGCTAGCTGCTATCAACTCCTTCCTAATTCTCCTACTGTTATTTTTTTAAAAGCTTATAATATGAGTAAGGATATTGAAAGATAAGGTATTTAACAAATAAAGAACTTAAAGAAATTAAAATTATGTGGGCTTTAATGCAATTACTTCATCATTTAGTCGATGAAGCCTTAAATTATTAATTAATTTACAACAAAATAATACTAATTTAACATAATATACAATAAAAAAAATTCTAGAAAAATAATTAATTTTAGCTTTACTGGTGGTATATCGGGTATCACGCAGATAAATTTATTTAAAATCAATTAATTATTTTTTCATATTTTTTCCGTAATACAATAGTCAGTCTAATGGACATTTACCTTTATTTGAAAAAAACTTAATCTATTTTTGGATATTACTTTATGATACAAGTATGTTCAGCTCTATCTGCTACATCTATCTAAACGCGATGAAAAATCTTACTACCGTGTTTAAAACTTAAACTGATTCATTTGTAATTGCCTGAATTTAACTTAATTAAAAAATAATTAGTAAAAAATTGTGTAATTTTAACTGATATAATCTAATACATTTATTTAAACAAAACTAGAAATATTCTTATAAATTACAAAAAAACGCTAATCCTCTTTTACAAGGACTATTTCGTGATTGTATTATTATAGGATGCAGTTTCTCTCTTTGCGTAAAAAAATATTACATTTTTTGCGAATGCTAAACATCCAGTGTGTTGAGTTCGTTAGAATTTTTATCGCTTGAGTCCTCCTCCATTTTTTCTAATTCTTCTCCTATTTTGTTCGTATAATTTGCGTCTAGTACAATCACTTTGTTTGGATTTTCATTGTAAATCTGTCTTTCAGTTTCTAAAAATTCCTCATGCGAGGCTCCCATATTCTCTAATGTCCTGCGTTTCCTTGATATTTCATCGCAAATGTTTTCTTTTAAGTCTTGTAATTCTTCATGCGAATTATCATTTTTTATCGGACTAGGATCTGCGACTACTGAATCTATTGTCTCGATTTTGATTTGAGTTTTATCGCGAATCTTCTCTGGCAGTGCCTGCAATACCTTAACTTGCCGCGGACTAAAAGCGAGTGTTGGATTGAGTTTGTTCGGATATTTTTGACATTCTTTCTCTTTCAGTTCTTGTAACTCTTCACGCAAATCTTCAATTTGTTCAATATGCGCTCGTTTCACTTTTGCCAACTAAAAATTATAAATTAAAATTTAATTATTGATGTGATTAATATATCTGAATTGATAGCGCACTTGACTCACCTTTGATTCAAATACTCGTTTTTGACATTCAAGTTCCTGTTTCAGACGATTTTCAGCTTGTTCCTTGGTTGCAGTCAATGTTTTTTCAAACGAGTCCACAAGTTCATTTCGAATTTCTTTTTCTTGCCGCAAGAGTTCAGAATTTATCCTAATTTGGAAATTATTTACTTCGTTTATCAGTCGATCATTATCATTACGCAGCCTATTTGAATAAATAATTTATATATTATTATATTCCAAAAGAGTTAGGGTATTTTAAAACGTACAAAATATTTACTTCGAGTAATTGCTCAATGTAGGCATTTTGTGCACTGCCGGACTTGGAATGTTCCAAAAAGAATGAAAATCTTGAGTTATTTTGCTTCACAATTGGTGGTTTGAAGATAATATTCTTAGCGATTTAAGAGAATCCCAAAACATTTAAATTTTCTTCATAATATTTTTCAGTGGGTGTAACATTAACCACCATGACAATTTTCTCCTTTCCTAACAGTGGAGCTTGCAACAACATCGTAAGTTTCGATTCTCGGTAAGGAATAACCTCAGTATTCTTCTTACGATTTAAATTATTAGCAGCATCAAGACAGCGACCCAGAATCATCAACGATGTATTGATACGTTGTGTTTCCTTAAGCCGTGAACCGACATTCCCAGTTTTGTCAAGTCGTTCAGAACCAGCCAAGTCACAGAATTTATAAGATATCTTCAAATACAAAACAAAAAAATAATGGATAAAATCATTTGAATGATAGTAAAAT